GGGGGAACAGTTACGGCTCCCCGTGTTGGAGGGGAGGGAGAATGGTAGGTTGGCAGAACTGGGGGCGCCTGAATTAGCGGCTGCTGATGCGGCGTGGGGCTCGGCTTAGTGAGGCGTGATCCTAGGCCCTCACAATGGGCGTCTAGGTCAACGTGGCGGTTGATGCTGTCCGAGTTGTGCCATGCCCCTAGGAATTCTCTCGCCCGTTTTGCGTTAGCCGTTGCGATGATCTCAGTGTCATCCCAATTGAAACGGTGGTCGCACTGGAGTGCGTGTGCAAAGACGAGGAGCAGTGGGTCACGGCGACGGATAGCTAGTTCGTGTTCATTAATTCGAGTTCAGAGGCGTCGTCCTGTATAACCAACATATACGCAGGGGCAATTGACACACGGAATGCCATAGATAACGTTAGTCTGTTCTTCTTTGGTAATAGAATCCTTTACTTGAGATACGGCTGTGCACAGCGAGGATGCAGGCTTGTGGGAAACGCAGATACCGAACTGATTTAGCCGACGGACGATCATTTCTGAGGTCCCCTGCATATAGGACAGGGAGAAGAATTTCTGTGTCACGATTTCTCCATTCGAGGATGGGTCTTGAGGTTGTGCCTGGCGCCTGAGGCAGTTCTTCACAAAACTGATCGGATCTGTGATGCTGTATATTGTGGCCAAACGGCAAAGTCTGCCTCTACAAGCATCCATGAACATCAACCAGCAGTTAAAAAGCGAGATCACTTTCTTAAATGCTTATTCACACCCTTGACACTGGGCACATCTTCGTGTGGGACAAGATCCACGTCATCGGAGTTTGCCACTCTAAAAAAGACCGAGAGTTTCCTGAAACCATGCACTCCGATGAACCACGCATCAATCGGCACACTGAGTTAGATGACATGTACAGAAATCTCAGGGGAAAGTGATGGAGATGAGAGCCAATCAACACGGCGGCCGTTCACTGGCGCAAACACCAAATAAATATTGATTTCCCAGCCTGTTGTTTTTGGCTGTTGTTAAATAGGCACGAGAAACCGCGCAAGCCTCGGGAAGATTAATGTAGCAGTCTACTGATCCGTTGCCTGAGTGTCATGTCCCCTACAGCTGTTTTAATTTGTAACGATAAACTCAGCCAAAATGCCTGGACTACGTCGATCCCGAACTTGTGACTCACTTTCGGGGCGGGAAAGGCCACTTGTGATGCGGACCTGCCTTCTGAACTGCCGCTTGCTCATGCTCGTCTGTATTGTAGAAAGTAGACGACGACCGACCTCCGTGCGTTAGGAATTGAATGCTTTGGATTCACACCCTGACAGCAAGATATCGAACCGACCTTGTCCAACATCCGTGCCCGAAGAACCATGTTGCCCAACTCGTTTTCAATCTTTCGCTCTTAACTCGAGCCTCTTCTTTCTGTACGGGTTCACATGCCTGACATCGATTTTCATGAACTTTTTCTCACTTCTATTCCTTTCCAGACTCACATATATCATTATCAGACAATGACACCTGTCCAGCGTGCCCTCATGCTCACCATCGACGAGAACATGGAAGTTCTGGAACAGGGCAAGCAGATGCTTGACATTGGCTCGCCCTCGGAACGCGTCCTTCTCAACATTGGCCATGATGAGGTGACTTCCAGTCTAATTTCCCCTCACCATCTTTTCTTCTTCTTCCAATGTCCAGAATTTTCGTTTCCTTGTTTTCCCGTTGTTGCGCCTGGCGCTCCTATCATTCTCCTGTTTCAATCATCTAGGCCTCAAAGAGATGGCTGGACGAGTCTATGGGTGCCAGTCAAGTGAAGGTTGCGGACGAAGTCGGCGCGATGAATGCCGCCGTCGCACAAGCCGTTCGCTCTGCCAACCGTGCTGACGCTGTTCTTAGTCAGACCGCCGGCTACGAAGCGGGAGCTGGCAACGATCCCGGCGACGACCTCATGATGATGCAGCAGTCGTTCCGCGTAGTCACCGTTCACTTTCCCGCCTTCGTGGATGATGTGAAACGTGTGGCTGTGTTGCGACGAGAGACGGGCGCTTTGCAGGCCGAGGCGGAGGAAAACCCTGAGACTCGCGAATACATCACCGTGCGGGCGGAGAACTCGGCGCAGAACCTTTTGGGCGCCGCACGCACAGTGGCAGACAGCTTCTCGGAACTCCTGAAGGCCGCCACACCTCTAACGACTCAACAGGTTGGCCCCACTTTCCGCGCTCTTACTCTCCATGTTCAACTCGCTTCGATATTATTATTATTATTCCTCACTCCTTCATCGGTATACTTTTCAACATGGCCGTCCTTTTCCCCCAACCCCTCTCCCCTCCATCTCTTTTAACCAACAGCAACCGGACTACGAGGTGTCTTCCACGGTGCAGTACTCTGACCAGGCTGCTCCGGTCAGAGGTTCTGCACGAAAGGCCATCCTAGAAGCTGCCAATCGCGTGGGCGAGGCGAGCAATGACTTCCTTCGCTGCGTCATCCAGGATGGCGAGGAACAGACGGTGGAGGCATACGACAAAGGCACGGGGCAGCGATCTTTCGCGGAGGAGGAGCGCGCCTACCAGGCGAGTTAATAACCCTTCAATTATCATGGTTTTTATGGTCAATTTTGGTGTGCGTAAACGTGTCGCCACCTGGCGTTAATTGTGATCGACCTCCCTTATGAGGTCGACACAGAGTCAGATTCTTCCACTTTCTATTGCTCCACTTTTACCGCGTAATTTCCAAATATCGAGTACCTCCTGCTTATCAGCAAAGTTCCTTCTACGCTCCTAACCGCCCTTTTGGTTAACTTGGATAACTTAGACACTCAAAGCAAGCATTCCCTGTCTAGGAAGCAATGCAAGTCTTTAATTTACAAGATCAAAGTGAATATCCTCGCTTGTAGCTGGCAAAGACTGGTTCATCCCTCAGTGTCCGAAAGTGCAAAACAACGTTGTTGACTCCCAGTCTTAGACTTTGATCGGATTGAGGCGTGAGTGACTGAATAACGAGCTAGAACGGCCTATTACCGTTCACCCTGCACTACACTGTCAATAGTCCGCCCAAACTCACCTCCAGCTTGTTGAAAGTACTTTGGCTCGATGCCTTTATCCTTCCAAACATAAATCAAGCGCCAACCCAACTGAGTAAGTTTTACTGTTCGAAGAAAATGGGCAGGCGTGGGTTGTACAGAACTGCTGTACCCCCCTGAAAGTCTGGACGGATAAACAAGGGGTTGCGGAGACTAGCCTCCTTCCTGTTGAGCACACGTGCTTGTCTGGCTCGAGTCCCCCTCAGCTGGCAGTCCCGTTATCACAAAAACGTGCTTCACGCCTTATCGCCGTCTCTGATTATTTTCAGCCCGCAAGGCATGCCGCTGCGAGTGTTGGGAAACTAGCCTGGATTTTGTCTATACCCTGACTTCCCTCCTATATTAGTGCAGGAACTTTACAAGCGTCTAACGCCCTCTCGCCCCTTTGAGAAGCAGACCATATCAGCTGAGGTACAGGGTATCACACACGTATGCATATATACTGTTTTGATAACCAGTTCGGACACGTCGCCATATGCAAACCGATGGAGGGAGGGGAGGGAAGGAAAGATACAATTCTTTCCACTTGTTCTTTCCACAGCGCTTTCCTGTGTCTGCGGTTGTTGGTTGTAATATTTGACTGTCCGCTAGAGTTTGTTGCCCTTGCGGTTCGAGATGTCTCGCTTGATAAACCGTCTAATAGCTCATAGCGGATTTTTGCGTTCCAGTCTGTGCTGGATATAATGCCGAAGTAGTAGTCATTGAGAAGTCAAAAAACATAATTTCCGGGGTTTAGAGTTTATTACAGGAACTCGGCAACCCGAATTGTGTCTCAAACGAAGAATTACTGCGTATTCGAACAGGATATTCCAACTCGAATAACAGGGGCCTTCGTAAAAGTCAACGCACCATGTGCTTATTCCTAAAACCACCATAATCCTGCCATACGCACTGGATCTGTAGTTTAACCGTTATAAATCACTTATGACGGAGGCGCCATTTTTACTACCACCCGACCACTGTACTCTCTCCACCAGTTGACCATTTTCCCTCCCTTAACATCCTTCCAAGACTCAGACACTTCTTGTTTGTGTAAATCACCGGTGCGGATGGCCCTCAAAGCGTCGATTGATTTATTGTTCACATTCTCGCTGTCGCTGCCGCTGCGTCTCGTAAAATAACACACGCTCGGCACCGAGGGCAACTACTCGCCTCGTGCCCCGCCCACCTCCCCCACCCCTCCACTGTCGATACGTGTTCTGACACGCCACAGGCATAAGCCGTTCACCAGTACTGTGTGTCTGCCTGCCCGCCCCAGGTGCCTTGGTCGGCTGTCGGTAATTGAGGCCAGACTTTGGATTTTGCCGCTGGAGTGTTAAAGCGCCTTCTGGTAGGCGCAACTCTTAGGCTTCTTTCACTCAGCACCAGCTTAAATTAAGCGGACCTCTCTGCAAAGACTCTCGTCCACTCGGTTTTATGGACGTCTGAGTATTCTCTTTCCTCACGGAAAGACATTTTTGGCTCCGATAAGCAAAAAGGAAACTAGAAAGAATGACTGTTTAGGGGATTAACTAACAAAAAGATAAGATTTCTTTGCCTTGTCGTCTTTTCCGCTTTCTCGCTTGTTTCTGTTATGGCTTTGGTAGTTTGTAATCTGACTAACCTAACGCACTACCGCTTCTCGGCGACTTCCACATTCATAATGGGCTCTGGTTTCTCTTAGTTGCTCTGTCCCTTGACAATGACTGTCACGTGTCGCAACTCTATGGAGAATAAATAACCTTTTGCTTAGTGCTTCACGAGTGCCGCCGTCACAAGCGAATTACGAACGTCCAGCATTTTTGCCGAGTCTCTCTGAGATGTCATGAGCATGTCTTTCGATAGACCTAACCATTTCAGATTTAAATAATACGTTTTACACCTTATTTTAGCAGTAGGATGGTTTTTCGCCCCTACGGGACTTTTACTAATATCCTTTCACTGTTTAATAGACTGTCTCTCTTCATACTTATCACCGCCTACAGGTTGACCTGCGAATTGCCTGACCATTTGATGATATTTTGCCTTCTATGCTTACTTATGAATTTACACACCCATATAATCCTTGGACCATAGGACGAACTGCTTGGCCTGGCCAAGGAGGTCGCAAATGCCACAGCCGGTCTGGTTGTGAAGGCCAAGCACCTGGCGACGCAGACTAATTTGGATCCGGAACATCAGCAGGATGTGGTCTTTGCTGCGACACAGACAGGGCTCTGCACCAGCCAGCTGGTTGCCTGTACCAAGGTATGCCAATCCTCTGTGACTACCAATAACACCGCGTTTTATTTTGAGGTATAATGAGAGCCTACTGCTTAATGATAAGTAGTAATGGTGTAATCGTTTGGTTTTAGGTCTTGGCACCAACGATACAGCAACCAACGTGTCAGCAACAGTTGTCCGAGTCCGCGCGGGAAGTTTCTGTAGCTGTTGAAGGCGTTGTTAAGGCGGCTCGTGGTGCCGGCCAATCTGTCTATGACCAACAACAAAACCTCGCGCCTGAAGAATTGTCTGAAGTCAATGAAGCAGTGCAGAATGTAGATGACGCAGCGACGGAAGTTCGTAACACCCTAGATCGTCTCAACGCCCACTTACTCAAAGAATCCGTACGGGTCAGTAGTCTTTCCTTCGCCCTTCCCGCCTATTTCTGCAAGTTTTTGGCCCCAGTTTTGCTTTTTGCGGCATTTTTAATGTTTTTATGTACACTTATTGATAAACTGAGGAAAGAGTACTGGTGGCCGGCCGCCTGGAATTTACAAGATGTCCCAGAAATCTAGAGGGAGAGGAAGTGAGATAGATAGACTGCGACCCGTGTTCCAAAATTGCCAGCACACGGCCGACTACTTTTATGACTGGAAGCCTATAACGTCAGCTTGCGAGAAGAGCAGGCAGAAGGACAAATGACTCAGTTCTGGGATTCCAGGCTCCTGGGAAGCCCTTTAGTTCACCCCTTTCGTACATCCATACATATTTCCTCGAAGCCAGTCGGTACGAACTTCGAGTATTTTTGACTAAATGTTCACAGATGCGTCTTTCGTGCGGTCGATGATGGCTTCTGGGAACAGTTTAAATTGAAAAGGGGATCCAGTTTTTACCCAATATCTCTTTGTCCATGTTAATTCCTTCTTCTCCAAGTCGGGAACAAGACTCGCCCCATTGACCTACTTTTTATATCTAGAGGCATTGCTGCCAACCTAGTTTTCAAGACTAATTATTTTTTACTAGTAGTTAAAGAACACTAAATAGTAAGTAGCCATTTGTCTTCAGCCCTATTATGTTACTGTGGAAGTCGAACACCAGGATCGCTGGGCCACTAGGCCTCTACCTGACTGCCTCGATAGGCTGAAGAGTTATAAAATCACAAGCGGCCAGTCTTCCTTCAGAGACGTGGCATTTCTACCTATGACCTTTAGATGCTTGCTTAGGTGATTGCTGCAATTCATGTCAAAGTGGCACTAACAATCATGACTTCATTACGGAGCGGAATGCAGGTGTACCGCTCCAGATCTCTCGAAACAACAAGTGATCATTTCTCGGAAGAATTGCCGACTAATGAAGACGGAATAGTTAAAACCTCGGGTCTTTTAAGTCTGGTGCCGAGGTTTTATTGGATAAGAACGGCGAATAAATCAGATGGTGCACCCTCAGTCCCCAATATTTTCAAAGAAAGTTTACTTGCTGCAATGAGACTGCCTGCTAGGGTTCTAGAGATAACCTTGAGACAGAAGGAATGTTCACATTTTGTTTTCCTACGACCCTAGCTCGCGAACTGCCGTTGCCGCCTGAACTTAAGTAGTCTCCATTGCAGCCAGCAAAGTTCGAGTCCATAGATGAACTAGCAGGGTGTCACTTTTCATGTCAACCGGACACAGGTCTAACTCCGCGACCTGCCTGGCCTGACATAACGGACATCTGCAGGCATATATGACCACTCTAATCTTCCCATTCATCGTCGGCAATGTGTATTGTTTATTGTCTCAAGGGAACCCCCTACCCTGTCCATCCAACTTGTCGTACCCTGAAAAAAGGCATTCATTCCCATCAAGTGTTGATTTTCTGGCTTAGTACAAGCAGTCTTCTTTCTGAAGTAGTCGTAAACAGCATCTTCAAACAGGCTACGTCAATTCGCAGTTTATGTCACATTCCTGTCTGTCATGAGAATCCTCTTGACAGCCAAGGCTACCATAAAAACGCCAATTCAAGTCCAGTGAGTAGATCAACAACCACTCAGCAGTAAATATTCATGGGTACAAGTAAATTTGGTTTCGCACGACATGCAAGTAAAGGACTTCGCTACCATCGTTTAAAGTATAGTGGGGGGTTGGGGTGGGGGTGGGTAGTGATGCTTGTTTCATTGGTAGGCGGTTGTGCGGGCGTCTCTAGGTTGGGTAGACGGGTGGATGGCTAGTGAGGATAAGATGGACATCTCCTGACCTACCCCTATTTCCTCCTTGTAATTGTAGCCTTACCGGGGTGATAACCTGGACCTCTTCCAGGCCGCTTATGAGGCATTGCAGAGAGAAACGGACGGTCAGCGCATGGTCGCGGCGGCACGCCGTCTCTCACAGGTCTCTGCCCAGATGATCGCCGACGTGAAGACACAGGCTGAACAGGCTGAAGGAGATCCGGAGAGACAGACAAAACTGTTTGCTGCAGCCAAACAACTTGCAGATGCCACCACGGACCTCATAAACCACGCTAAGGTTTGTCTTTATTTTTTTCCTCTATTCACGTGCCTATTCGATTTCTAACAGCGCGCCGTGCTTAGGGCCATCGTGGGGACATGTCACGGTTTACGTCAGCAATTTCGCCAGTAATTCCTCTTTTGGCAGAATTTGATGAGCCCCTTTGCGCCGTCTACCGAGGCCTGTCAGAAATATCTTGTTTTGCGATAATGATTATGGGCCATTCTTTCCGATATACCGTCTAGAAGGTGTCTTCGTGATCAGTTCACATAGTCTCAGACGCTGTGTGCGACCTCCTCTGACACGTTCACCCATCACCACAGCAACTGTTGCATTTTTTCTCGTCTGACAGGTCTGCTTACGGTTCTGGCTATTGTTATTATCCTTTCTGTATGTCACACCAGGTCGTTTCTGTTGTGGACCATCGAATAGCGATTAAACTGGGCTGTGTTCTTCAGGAATTACGTGTATGCCTTCTGGTAGATTTTTATAAGTCTCGAAGGAATACTTTTGCACCAAGTTTTAGATCTTTACTCGTTTTATTCACACACGTCTCGGGCCCGGCTTAAGTGAAGCTGTCACCAGTTATCCGCGCCGTTTCTTGTTCAAGAAAAACATTAATTGTACGCATATGCGGATCGCCTATCCAACGTGATGGGAACTGTCGCAATCGGGGAATGGCGGTACTTATGAATTGCAGTTATACCTGCGTAGCAATGACTCCACGCTCCTGCCTGACTTCATTGGCCGGCAGTGGAACGATACGGTCGAGGCTACGTGAGACAAATTCCGACTGCTGTCCTTGTTTGCACGGTTTTTACATGTCGTGTCCCACGAATTAAAAAAAAAAACATGTATGATGCTGCAGTCCGACGTAATAATCAACAGTGGTGCCTTCATCAAGTTTGCTTTGTGGTTCGGGTGATAGTTAAGGCGTTTTGGCTACCGGTCTTAGGAAGTATTCGGAACCTGTCGACGGCTGAGAGCAGACTAGGCTGTTTTCGAGTGAGTGTAGCAGCTTCAACCCAATTTTCGCAGTAAGACACGGGAGTAGGAACGCCCTCAGTAATACAGGTGACCCTGCGCTAAACTCCAGGGGGCGTACTTATTCACGTGTCCTAACCCTATCTGTAATAATAACGCAAATCCCAACCCTAATCTTAACTCTAGCCCTAACCTTAATCTCCTCGGAATTTGTCTCAAAACCACTTCTATTCCCGGGAGGGGGGGGTCTTGTTCCCGTGTCCTACCGTTTGCTCAGCCATGAAACCGAACGTCCCATCGGTGGTGTGCCATTTTGGATCCCCGGAGATCGCAGAGGTACACGAGCCGGTGCGCTCCCGTTTGGGGTTCTACGCATTGGAGTCGCGTATCTCCTGGTTTGCTATGTGGGGATGAACACAGAGTTTATCAAACAAGGCGCAAATTTACGTTCAAAATTCGGGCGAGTGATTAGGGACGGATCGCGAATAGCGGTGCTCTTCGCGTCTGACCAACCTTGTTGCGAAGGCGTCCAACACGGCCGAGGTACTTTACGCAATGCGCACAGGAGCACGAATTTTCTGTCGCTGGAAGTGTTGTTCCTCGGTAGTCCAGCGTTCCTACTGCTTCTCCTCTGCCTCTTGTCTTATTTTGACCTTAAAGCTTACAGCCTCATTGCGGCTATGAACTAATATGGAGACCAGGAAGCATTTCAGAGTGGCAAACATAAGATACAGATACTTCGACATTTGTTATTTTCCTTCGCACAACTGCTGTTAACAGGAAATCTTCCCACATTAATAGGTTGATATTATTGACATTCTGTCCATTGAGCCAGTCACAATCCTAGTCGCAGCTTCACCCAAACCGGAGCACTGGGTTCTTTATTGTCTCGATGTTCGAACTGTCCCGAATGTCGGTGAGGATATGCTTGAAGTGGCAAGATAACCATCTTAATCCGAATTCAATGATAATAATTTTCTTTACGGATCTGTTGTTTTTAGTTCGTTTTGCTCCCTTGGGACCTCGCTGATTTGTCTTCTTCTAGAAATATCTGGGTGTGTGTGCGCGTAGGCTATCACGAGTCTTCATTCTTCCCTAACACGCTTTTGCCTTCAGGTCTGCTCGACTACACCGGACTCAGAGCAGAACCAGACGAAGTTGAAACAGTCCGCCGACGAACTCGTGGTCGTCGCCTACGCATCCGCCGCAGAGCTCTTGAACGCCCGCGTGATGCGTAGTCTTCAGGCCGCTGCGCGAGCAGTTGTTACTGCTTCCACTCACCTCGTCAACACGAGCCGTTGTGCCGCCAAGAAGTCACGATCCAACAACTATCACGTGAGTTTCGTTGTGCCTTTATGTCCACGGAACGGCAGTGAAAATTTCTATCACATGGCCTCCCTACGTTTATTGTGCTTCACGATTTGCCGGACTTGTCAATTCCTCCCCTCTCTCATTTTTTCTAATACATTTATACTGTAAGAAATTCGATGTGCCTGTCTGGTGCGATCGAAATTTATACTCAGTATCCTTTAATACTTACTCTGTCCAGCTCTTTCCACTTGCGCGAAATAACGTATCTGCCGGCTCGTGTACCGCATCTGACCGATCAATTAATTGTTGCCCAAAATGTGAGCGCCTACGATGAATGCCTGGCAAACTGCTATTCGAGCACGGTCTACCAATCGTTGGGGCAGAATAGAAACAATGTCGTCAAGATATTACAATCCCCTTACCTTCCTGGCTCTTGTTCAATTTCTGTCTGTGGTAATGAGTTTCAGTAAGAATCCCGAGCGTCGGGTGAATAAAGTCCTTGTTCCAGCATTGGAGAACACCTCGTACCATGTCTAAGTGCTCGGGCCGGAACTAAATTTTATTTGAATTTGCGTATGCCGACTGCCGTTTCTGACGAGACCGTCGACGTTCCTGCTTATAATGGAGCGGCTTCATAGAAGTCGCCCTTGCTGGGTTCTCTGGTTTTACTTGCTGAGGTGTTTTTTTCTTCTTTGAAGCTAAGGGTCGGTCCTCGTATTTGCTGTCTTTAGATCCTTGAGGATGCCAGAGTTGTAAATGAACTTACTCCTAAGCTCGTTGCTGCCATTCGCTACGTTCGAAGTCGCCCTGAAGACCCTCTTGCCCAGTTGGAACTTATATGCGCCAGCCAGCAAGTTGTCGAGGTGAGTGCCTCAACTTTTGCTTCGTGTCCAACCTCCCCTCTCCTCCCCATACTCTTGCCTTATGAGCCTATGCATATGCATACAGTATGCAAAGAAATTCGTGAAACATTATCTGAGAACTTTGATCGGCTACCCATGACAGAGGAGGACTGTTTTTAGACTTTTTCTGAGCGGTGGTTGACGTAGTTAACTGTCAAATGAGTAAAAGAAAGGCTACTTTTGTGCATTTTCTATATAAAATAGATTTGAGTTTAAAATGATATCAAAAACCAATGGGAATGATTCATGCTGCCTGAGTAGTTATTTTCTACGGAATATAGTTTATGCAAGCTGCTGATAAGGAAATCATCTGAAGGCCGGCATTCTGACGTGACCCGAATGTCTTAAAATTGTGCGGCACGATATTCAGTGTGACAACTCTTCCTAAGCAACCTTTTCGAGCGGGGGATCTTGACCTAATTATGTGCCCACCCCTTTAACACATAAGTTGCTTGTCTGTAAGTGGCTTTCCTGTCGCGCCAACCAATTTTGTCTTACTATTTCACTTTCTGATCTGTTTATTTCGTCACCAGCTCGTAAATCCACGAGAACAACTCGATTTTTTTAATGAACCCTCTTTCCTCATATTATCTCGGAATGCACACTACCTCAGCTGTTCTGTGTATATGAAGTAGTCTATAAGATTCCATGTGGCACTTGTAATGCAGTGTATTGTGGTCAAACCGGAAAATCCGCCTCTACACGCCTACATGAACACCAATTGGCTGTGAAAAGGCGGGACCACTTATCCCAAGTTGCCATGCATACTCTTGAAACTGGGCATAAATTCGCTTGGGATAAAACACGAATTGTCGGTTCCTGCCCATATAAGAAAGACCGAGAATTCCTAGAGGCCATTCACTCTGATGATTCATGCATCAATCGACGCATCGACCTTGATACCATGCACACAAATCTCAAAGAAAAATGGAAAAGGTAGTAGCCAATCAAGACGTGACATCAGCCCACAGCATTAACCCATCCTCAGCCATGACAGAGCAATATCGATTTTTTCGGCATTGTTTAAATTTTGACTGTTTTTTCACACTTACTACACGTCTGAAGACGAGCTGGGGAACCAGACTCGAAAATTTACGATCGGGTTACAGAACATGCTCGTTCTGTTGTGCCTTGGGGCTCATACTTAAACCCTCGCAGGCAGTCGCACAGCGACTAGTGATATAGGTAGATAACTGATATTCCCGATCACAACCGACAGGACAACGGGCCCGTGGCTCAATGGTAGAGCGTCAAACTCCATGACCAAAGATCCCGGG